ACTGAGACACCCAGGGGCCCCTCATTTTTAACTTATCAAGCAGGTATCAACAAATCTGTAAGAATGGTGTCATATGATCCAAACTGATCAGAATTCAATTAAGTTAGAAACTAATAAAAGATATTTTTAAAGTCTATACATTTTTAAATTAAAATCACATTTCTAAATAATGAGCTAAAATTATAATGAAAACTTTAAAATATTTAGAACTGTATAATCAAGAGATCATATGTCAAAATTTATGGGATATGTCAGAAGTCCTTATTTAGGAAAGTTCATAGTCTTAATTCTTAGGGAAAAGTTTAAAACTGTAAAAACTAATGAGCTAAACATTGTTCTTGAGATGTTACAGAAGAAATTATATATATATATATATATATATATATATATATATATATATACACACACACACACACACACACACAAAGAAAAGGAATAAGAACTTTGTATTTTTTAATTAAGATATTTTTAAGAGTATCAACAAAGGCAAAATTTCTTTTAAAACTCAACAATATACATATATATTTTTTGCATGTATGAAGTTTTTTAGAATTAGAAATAATTGAAGTAGTTAAGTGTGTTTCAGTGAAAAACCATGCTGTACTAACACATACACACACACATGCTACCCATCTGAGTGAAATGAAATATGTACCAGCCCTTGGGAATCACACTTAGGCACATGTCTTGGACAGTGTGCCTACTTTTAGTGTGCACTGTCTGCATTTCTGTACGATGGTCAGGGCCAGAGAGAGGCACTCCCAATCCAGATGTCCCAGCTCCAGAAGCTCTGAGAAGACTCTGCCTCCAGTCTCCTCACCTTGCTGGGAAGCAGGGAACTGTCCAGCAGCAAATGCTGCCTGAACTCAGGCCTAGAACAGGCCTGTGCAGTCAGTCCACAAAGAGCAGGGCTCCCCCTGCTGCAGGTGTCTGGTAGCATGGAAAGGAGCTTCCCATTTGCATCTGCACTGGGCTTCATCTATTTTGTAAATGGCCGTAACTGTCAAAGGCAGATGCGGAAGCCAGCCTGTACGAATTAAAAGGCATTTTTTGGAAACCATTCCTACAAATGCATTTGTTTAAAGATCAGTATAGGTGGAGGAGATTCACAGTGCTTTTGGACAGGCTCTTCCCCCCTCCCCCCATTGCCCTAGATAGACTGGAGGCTCAGCTTCTCCTATGTATCTGAAATGGTGAAATGACGGGAAATGGCTGGGGCATCAGGAATTGAGACATGAAATCCAGACCGCTGTTGGTGAACTCCCTGACGGTGCATTAGCCTGGGGCACCGTAGGCCTTCTCTGAGTCACCAAAGACTGTAATAAAAGGTAAGCAGCCACACAGCTAGCTGCTTCTGAAACTCCCTGTCTGAGCCTTTCACGAGAAGTGAGGCAGAATTGAGCACATGACTGAGGGAGTTGAGAATGCCTGCGAGGCAAGCTGCCTGCCATAAAGGTGACTTGCCATGTCTCAGAATGGTGTGTGAGAATTAGATCATTCCACTGTGAGATTTGTAAGAAATACAGGTAGAAGCTGGTTCTTATCAGATGGAAAAGAAAGGAACCGAACACAAGCAACCAAAGAGACAGATGGCCAGTAAGGGTGAGATTGTAGGGCAGCCTCTTTTTAAGTGCTTAGATCTGCTCAGAGACAATAAAAGACAGAGAGCCACCTGCTTATTGCTTCATCCAGTCAGGGGAGCTCTCGTGCCAGACTTCAAAGCGGTGACAGACCAGAGCCAGAACAATCAAATTGTAAAAAATGGACACAGTCACCAGTGCCATATGAATAATACATCTGTCGTAATTCTGCCTTCCAAAATCTGTGTTCTAGACACACAAGATGAGCATTAAAAAAAGTGTCTGGAAATAGAAGCAGTCTTGTCTGTGTTTTCTACTCCAGCACATCCAGTCAACTAGTAAATTTAGCATAGCTGACTCCCGATTATCTGCGTAGATGGAGGAATCTGTGATCACAGAGAACTGAAATCTCCAATTAGTACTACCCACCTCATTTTGTCTAGCCGCCACGTTCCGCAACCTTTACTGGAGTTGGGCACAAGATGCAAAATGATTGGCTGCATTTCATTCCTGTTTCTTACCTTCTTGACTGCCTGTTGTGGAGTTACCAATCGGTAAAGAAGCATCTCAATAATACGGAGTAAAAGGAAAACCAGAAATTCTGATTCCCAAACAGGGTAATCAAATGATTCTTAACAGATGCTTATCAAATACAAGCTCCTGTGTACAACTGTGGGGAAAAAAATTCAGAGATATTGTATTTATCATGTTCAACACTTTTGAGAATAAAAGTATTGGAGGAAGGAAAAAAGATAGCAATGTCATGCTATAGAAGCAGTTAGCAATTTAACAGCTTTTCCTTAATGAGGAAGAAGGATGAAAGAAAGATAACTTACCATAGAAAGGATCCAATGGAAAGGGAAAGCCGGCGGAGGGCTGGAGAGACCAGTGTAGATAAAATAAACCCGAGACACAAAAACAGTGTGCTCCAGACTCAGAAGAATACATACTCCATGATTGGTAGAGATGTTCTGTGCATATAGACAATTAAGACTTTGGAGAATTTGAGCTCCTAATATTTAGTTCTGGAATTAAGAAAATAGAATAGCAAAAGTGGGAGAAGGTGTGAGAAAACTGTATTTGCACTAACATTTAGCTTTCTTGGTAACTGGGAGAAGTTTGCTGATCAGCTTGGTACATTCCCAATAGCACTGATGGAAGTGAATGGAGATACACTTTGGGATTGGAGTTTCAGAAGCCCAGACATAGAGTATATAATAGCATGGTTCTCTGTTGGTTTAATGTCTCTTTCACTTCTCTCATTATAGAGGCAAGAATATGGGGACGGGGAAGACGGAAGGGTGTGCACATATGCATGCATGCATGTGTATGTGAGGCAGAGAAGTGTAGTAATTTTAAATTCTTTGTCTTTTGCTTACTCATTTTCTAAATATTTTTGTTTTCATGAGAGATCAGATTAAAGCTGATGAAAGCAGAAAAATCCAAATATGAAGCAATGGTACTTAGAGTGAATACTGGTACTGTTTTCCTGATTTCAATGTTTTAGAGTTCTCTTGACTCTTCCCTTGACCACAATACAGCAAATTTGTGAGGCTTATAGGTACTGATAAGCCTTCTCATCTTATGCTACCAGGCTCTCACACATTCATTCTAAAAATATTTACAAAGAATTTATGTGCCAAGCTCCTCCTACCTTCTTAGCTGTCCAACCTGCCCCAGGCCATCTGCTTTCCTGTGGTTCTGCACCCATATCCAGATGCTCCTGATAGCATGACATTTTTCATTTCACTTTCTTATTCCAAATACCTTGATAGTTTTCCATAGTATCTCAAATTAAAACCTGGTTCATTGGAAGTAACACAAAGCTCTTACTATCAGACGGTTGGGTTAGTCTCAGTTCTGTCCCTGATGTTTACCTCTGTATGTGCTATTTCCTCATCTGTAATCACCAGAGCACCATGGTAACTAGTCTAGAGAACTTCCAATGTTGCTCACAACATAGGTTGTTTTTATTCCCATTCTACACCTGAGGAAACAAGAATCACTCTAGTTAAATGATTTTCTCAGAGCTACTCAGCCAGTAAGTAGAGGGGCTGGAATATAAGATGTTTATGGATCTAAAGTTCTTTCCAACACCTCCCTGTAAAATAAGGTTGCCTGAAATGCCTCCCTTCCTGAGCTGTCCAACACAGTAACCACTAGCTTTCAATTAAATGAAATTATAAATTGAGTTCCTCAGTCATGCCACATTTCAAGTGCTCAGTAAACATATGTGGCTATTGGCTGCCATACTGCCCGGTGAAGATTATAGGACATTTCCACCAGCACGGTTTTATTGAATAGGTTAGAATTGTAGTATTTGGCTTCTGTGATTCCTTGACCTCTCAATCTGGCATTCATGGCCTTCCAGAGTCTGATCCCAGCTGTCCTTTTCTGTTGAAATATTCATGACCCCCAAACTCTTTATGTGCCTGCCAGACTGGGCATAATTTTTATGTCTCCCTTTATATGTAACAGTGCCTTCCATAGAGAGTCAACATTTGGATGGATGGATGGATGGATGGATGAACGGATGGAAGAAGTGAAGAATGGGTGGATAGGAGAGAGGGAAGAAAGGAGTGGCATTCATTCATGTTTCCATTAGATAAATGTTTATTGAGTATCCACTATATGCCCTTCTAAGGTTCCTGGGATTGCTAGGATTACATGACATGGTCTTGTGAAATTTTCTGCCTGGGCAGGTAGAATAGAGGAGAATACATCACAAAGAAATTTATAAATAAATACTCAGTGATGTGTTATGAAAAAAGTGAGCATATTGTGCTGGGCATCCAGAAGACTGCAGACTGGGAGAAGAACTATAGATACGGTCATCTCTAATGAGGTACCATTTGACTTCAAATCTGAATAATCAGGGACCAGCCATATGAAGTTCTGGGTGGAACATGTTCTATAAAGAAGAAACCTTGAGGGGCGCCTGGGTGGCGCAGTCGGTTAAGTGTCTGACTTCAGCCAGGTCACGATCTCGCGGTCCGTGAGTTCAAGCCCCGCGTCGGGCTCTGGGCTGGTGGCTCAGAGCCTGGAGCCTGTTTCCGATTCTGTGTCTCCCTCTCTCTCTGCCCCTCCCCCGTTCATGCTCTGTCTCTCTCTGTCCCAAAAATAAATAAAAACGTTGAAAAAAAAAAAA